AACATTATTATTTAATAAGAAAAATTGATTTATAATGTCCCTATGAATAGTCTATAGGGAATTATAAAATCATCTCCAAAATTATTCTTGTAGTTCTTTTTATTGCATCGAATAAATTTAGTTTATGATTTTATGTGAACAAAAATTTGATGAAATTACATGTTTATAAAAATGTTCAATTAAACAATTGATGTTGCATTACATTTCATTTTAATAATACTTTTATTAAAATAGAAAAATAAGAGAATGAGTTATTGTCAGTGCTAAAATGCTTTGTCTTGAATATTTATCATACTTAAATTTTATGTAAGAAGTTGGCTTGGCTCTTTCCAAACTCAGTATTAGAAATCTTAAGAATGAACAAGATTGAATACACAATATAAGAATTATTTTCTATGGAATTGTGTTCTTTGAAAAAATGCTTCCAAAATTAAATATCAGTTAATTTCAAAAATAATTTCTGAAACGGTCCATATATTTTTATTGACCCAAGTTTTATAATAAATATTAAGACAGTATCATAATCAACTGACAGAATTATAGTTTGTTTCTATAATATATAGTATAATTCAAATTTTGAAAACGTATTTTCAGATATATTACACAAGTTATGTTTATATAACAGTTCATTATATGCTTTTGTAATGAATTGTTCGATTACTAATGTATTTCAGGATTATAAAGTATATTACTGAAAATTTAAACTTTAAGCTCGAAGTAACAGTTTATAAATATCGGATAATGGGACCGGAGTAGGATTTTTTAAAGTATATAGAGAACCATTAAGAAGATTGGCTCTTATTAAATGTGAGAATGCCAATACTTTAATAGCGTCACTGTCACTTTTCTTCCTAATTCTGTGACTCTGTTGAACTACTGATAAAAAATGTAATTTATTTATTGTAAATAAAAAACATATATTGCTTAAAATGTTTTATATTATATGATCTGCATTAATCGACCGAATTTTGGTGAAAAATGTGAAAGAAGGAAACAATTTAAAGTTTGTAGAGCTATGAAATATATTTGAACAAAAATTGTTATAATTTTCTAAGGTAGTATTGCAAACATAAAAGTACAACTTTATGAATAATGTGGGATGGGAATAAATATTCAATTTACAATAACATTGTGTATTTTTTTATTAAAAATCGTGACCTTTGATTTTTACATTAAACTATATTATCATAATTTATATTCTTAAACATTATATATTTATCATATTTCATATAGTAACTTCACCGTGCATCAAATACGACAACTAAACATTATTAAGGAAAACGATTGATTCATAATTACTATAATTATTCATATGTATTTTAGCTGGATAGAATGCAACGTATTTTAAAATTTGATCACATTGTAGTATAATTATACCAATGGTGGTAGAAGAAAAGTATTAATAGGAATATTGAATCCAAAGAAATTTTAGGCTCTACAGAAAATCATATAAAATTCAGTTCACTAAATTTCATGAAACCCTGAAAAGTTTAAAGATCATTAATGTCTTCCCATTTACGAGGTTTTTCAAATTCACTGATGGGTTTAATTACAGTCCTATATTAACAATTCTATTAGAATACATAACATCATAGTTATTCTACTAATAAATGAAATACAATTAATTATGAAATATTATCATCATAATAAAGAAAACAAAAATATTGCTTGAGCAACAAATTTTAAAGTGTACTATAAACTTACTATCCAGCTAAATTAAGCTTAATCGAATATTATGTTAGTAAGAAAGTACTTTTGTTTTCCTGTAACATCATATTCAATAAAATTTGAAAACATTTTAAGTTTCTATTGAATTTGTTAAAAATACCAAGAAACTAAAAATCTCATATGTTCTAAAGAAAAACTGTAAATAAAATTTTATATATATTTAGTTTAAACAAATTTCTCAAATCCTTTGTTCAATTACTAAACTTAATTCATTATATAAATTTTGAACTTACAATTCATATCACATGAAAACAAAGTATTTTTTACAAAATATGTTTAATCTAATTTCGTTTCAATAAAGAGATCATTTTACTGTTTATTTATATATTAATTAAATCAATATTGTACTTTATTACTCACATAAACTTCTTATATTAGTTAAAATTTGTATGAAAAAGGATACGCCTTTTAGTACGTTTCTTGTACATAATTCGATAACCACATTCCCTGCATCGAATTGGATCTCTAGGACGTATTTCATTATCGTGATGGCACTCTGTAAAAATACATATTCTATGCTTAATATATATTTAAACACGTATATTTCACTGAATATTTTTTGAGATATTCTACTTTGAATAATCAGTGTTATGCACATACCATGTAAAATTCATCACTACCTTATTACCTTATTTATTAATAGCATGCTTTTAGTAAATATTCAAAGAAAATATTTTGAAAAATATTAATTGTTTGGTCCACTGCAATTGCACTTTGCAACCATACCAATGCATTTATAAAAAAACTGATATTGGAGTATAATAGAGCGTGACAAATAGTACAAAGCTTTCTTTTATGATTTTTTTTAACTTTAACAGAAACAATGTTACAGTTTGTTCCATTTACTATGCGTACCCTTACATTCTATGTAGGATTCATGCAACTGTTACTAGACATATCTTCCTTTTAGTTGAAGTTGGAAACAAACGTTACAGGACAAAAATGAATGATAGAGCGTTCTGCTTATATTCACACTCATAAATTTTTCATGTGTACAATCGTGAACGTGCATTCAGCAGTTACATGTTTTTTTTTAATTAAAACCTGGGTACCACTTTCTCTGAATGAATAGAATCCTCTCTTTATTTTACATAAAAGCCTATTAGAGTAACATGGTAAAAAAATGATTACCTTACAAGTTATTTTGAAGAAACATTTTTATTAGAAAAGGTGCTTTAACACTTTTCCTTTGTACTCTAAATATTTCATACAATGTTTTTTAATTGTTTTCATAACAACATTAAGTTGGTTTTTTGTTATTACTTCACAATCTTCTGGTAATTATACTTTTATGTCCTTTACAAAACTTAAAGGATACAAATATAGCTTATTTTTCAAGAAGCTCCATAAAAATAAAATCTAAATGTTTCAAATCAGGTGAAGTATTATAAAAACTATTTGTATAGATAACAAAGAAGTGGCATAAGAAATATTTGCATAATATGTAGAAGTATTGTAAAATATCTTTCAGAATGATCATTTCTGAACTACAATAAAGTAATATTTTTTTATGCAAAGTAAAGGGGGGATTCAATTCACCCGAAGAAGGTAGATTCCAGTTTAAAAAAATAGTGTGACTGCCTAATGTATGTGCATTACTGCATATATGAAAAATCTGTAAGTGTAAATATATGCAGAACGTTATACTATTCATTGTTGTCCTGTAACATTTTTTTCTAACTTGAATTACAGAAAGGATATGGTTTGTAACAGTTATGTGAATCACTCTACATAATATTTTAATTATTTATTCTCTTATAGAATATTCATGCATATAAATAATAAATTCGTGACAGTGATAAACAATAAATTAGTTAACATTTCTTATAAAAAGAATGAAAACGCTTTACAAAACAATAATCATTAACTCAAAAACACAAGATATAAAAAGTAATGTTAAATAAATAATAATTTAAAAATATTTATAGTCAAATGCATTTTAATTTTTTAATTTACTTTACATTGTCAGTAGATTGAACTGATTAAAATGATAACAGATTTAAGATTTAATTTATGTAATATTATGAATTTTTAATATCATTGAAGTAATTTTATAATCCATATATTTGTGTATTCATATTGTATCATAGG